ACACCTACATCCCCCCCACCCTCACACACATACACCCACCCACACCCGCACCCACTCGCACATGCACATGCACACACCCGTCCCCACGCACAGACCTACACCCCCTCACACATACACAGCGCTATGTTTTGGTTTCACCAGCTCTCTCTTTTCCAGCGTTAGTTCCATTAAAAGTTCTTGCTTGCTTTTCTATGGAAACATAACCAGGATTTAAAAGGCAGTCATGACAATTCAGCAAAGCACCCCAATATTCATCAAGATCCCAGGCTACACTGTGCTGATCAGTCCAGTTAGCGCCTTGTGACTCCAATGGAGCAATGTGGGGGGGGGGGGCTCATGCACCAACCTCAGGTGCAGTCAGTGGGGTTACAGAATGAGCATCAAAAGAAAATTCCAGACCATATTCCAACAGTTGCTGGGCTTTGGAGCTCTCTGGCAGAAGCAATACCCCACTGCAGCCATTGACCTTTTCCACATCCCCTAGTGGGGCTGGGAGTGGCTGTAATACCACCCAGGGCCAGCAGGGGACACATCTTGGCCTTTTCCGGACCACTCCTCCAATTGCCGTACTTCAAAGAGCAGCAATTGTGGCCCCAGGAGGCGAAGGAAGAGTCTGGAGCGCAGGCAGCGTTAAGGAGTTTATCTTTTAATGTCAATAAATAAGCAGCTAGAACAGTCTCTTCATTTCCTCCTCTGGGAGCTGCACATTGGCCTGACAAAATGTTTCCGTCTGTTCAGTTATTTTTTGCATTAAAAAAAAACCCACCCGGTGAGTGAAGAGGTCACTGGGTGTGAGCTGGTAACACAGCGAATGGGCTGCGTGCCCAGCAAGGAAATGGGGGGAAGGCAGGATGGGCAGGGGCTGCTAGGAAAGACTAGCAGCTCAAAATGTACAGAAGCAAAGTAGCTAGAAGGCCGGGAGGAGGGCAGGCAGTTTGCAAGGGGGAGCTTCCCCCCATTCTCCAAACGCAGCAGGCAAACCCCCATGATGTCCACCCCACCCGGCTGGGGGAGGAGAGGGAGGGCTGCTTGCAGCCTTTGGTGGAGGGGAGCAGCTGTTAAATAAGAGGGGGTGGCCGAGGCTCATGGGGAGGTGAGGGGGCACCGAGGGGTTCTTCACTGTTGGGGTGAAGATGCAGTTTCTCTAGTGGCCAGAGGTGTCACTTCTTCCTCCTCTTCGGGTCTTCTAAACCCACTGTGGGGAGAGATGGGACACGTGAGACAAGGCGGGGGTGGGAGGTCCTCAGGGCCGGGCCAGTGCCCAGCCCCAGGTGGCAGGGTTTGTGTCCCAATGGCAGGATGGCCTCCAAGGTTTGGTCTCCAGCCCTTGCCCCACCAGTCGAAAAGGTCCAGAATGACCTGCAGTCTGGCCCTCAGCATCACCCTCTCATGGCTCGCTGCCCACCCCCCCAGGCAGCACTCGAGCAGAGCGGTCTCTCTCTGGGACAGGACAGGGGCTGACTGGTGCTAACGCCCAGGGAGACACTAAGTGGGGGAAACCACATCCACTTCCCTAGTTAACCAGCAGCTGCTCAGCAGGGATCTCAGCAGTGCCAGGAGCTGCTGTCTCCAGGCCCTACCCTCGCCCTGCAGAGCAGCTAGGGTGACCAAACGTCCTGATATTTAACTCTTTGTCCCACATCCCGATCGATGTCCCTGTACTGTAGGGTTGCCAGGCCTCCGGTTGGTGCGGAGCTGGCAGGCTCCCTACCTGGCTCCACACAGCTCCCCAGAAGCGGCGAAATCTTCCTCTGGCTCCTAGGCACAGGGACAGCCAGGGGGGCTCTGTGTCCTGCCCCCGCCATGAGCACCATCTCCACAGCTCCCATTGGCCAGGAACCATGGCCAATGGGAGCTGTGGAGTGGTGCCTGCGGGCGGAGGCAGCGCGCAGAGCTGCCTGGTCATGCCTCCGCCTAGGACCCAAAGAGAGATATCACCGCTTCCCCAGAGCAGCCTGAGGTCAGTGCTGCTGGGTGCCCGTACCCTGTACCCCCTCCCGCACCCCAACCCCCTGCCCCAGCCCTGAGCTCCCTCCTGCACCTAAACTCTCTCCTGGAGTCAGCATCCCGAACCCCCTCCCACATCCCAACCCCCTGCCCCAGCCCTGAGCTCCCTCCACCACCCACCCTCCCTCCCGGAGTCCGCACCCCCCCCCCCCTCCCGCACCCCCACCCCCTGCCCTGAGCTCCCTCCAGCACCCAAACTCCCTCCTGGAGTCAGCACCCCAAACCCCCTCCTGCACCCCAACCCCCTGCCCCAGCCCTGAGCCCTGCCCTTGCAGCAGGGGCTGGAGCCGGGACCATGCGCCCCTGACCAATGGCTTGTGGCAGGGGTTGCAGCAGGGGCCATATGCCCCCCTCACAGCTTCCTAGGGCTGTGCGCCCCCCCTCCCCCATGACTCCGGTGGGGGCTGTGAGCCTGTGGCTGCCCCCCCCATGTGTCCCAATATTTTACTCTTGCGATCTGGTCACCCTAAGAGCAGCAGCCGGTGGAAACGAGCAACAGCAACTGGCTCCTTTGGTGGCAGCTGGAGGATGATGGGCCGTGGGGGAAGAGCCCCCTAGCGCAGCAGCAGCATGTGTGACACCCCGTTGGGTCCCCACAGCCAGGGGGCGAGTGGAAGGGACTGGAGAGGCGCAGCGGGGGGCAGAGAAGGCAATGGAGGTACCCGGCCCAGCCAGAGAGCAGCGCTAAGGCTCAAATGGGCAACACCACCCGGCCCCAGACCCCAACTGCCAAACTGCATTGGGACCCAGCCAGGAATAGCTGGTAAAGCAGTGAGATTTCACATGCACCCCCCCCCCACACACACACACACTCTGCAGTGCCTTGGGGACAGATAGACATGGGGCAGGCAAGGCATGCAGCAAAGGATCGTGGGATACCTGAGAGACAGGATCAAGGAGATGGAGGGAAAGGAGATTACGCTACAAGGGGAAAGGATAAAAGAAACCAGCGTTAACAGACCGCAGGGAAGGAGGTTGTGCGGGAGAGAGCGTTAGTCCAGACCTGCACATGGGATGGATGGAAGGTGAAACCCATCGAGGGCATGGGGCTCAAACCCACACCAGAGCAGCACAGAGCAGGGGGGGCAGAGCTCAGCAGCAGTCTGGCCCAGCCCCTTGGGGAGACTGGAAACAGATACTCCCAGAAGGTAAAGGGCACAGATTATAACAGGTGGCAGGGACAGATGGGGTAAAAAACAACAGGAGTCCTGACTCTGGTCCTGCTGCTCTAACCACTGTACCCCACTCCCCTCCCAGATCTTGGATAGAACCCAGGAGTCCGGGCTCCCAGCCCCCCTGCTCTAACCACTGCAACCCACTCCCCTCCCAGAGCCGGGAGAGAACCCAGGTCTCCTGGCTCCCAGCACCACCTCCCGCTCTAACCACTAGACCCCACTCCCCTCCCAGAGCTGAGAGAGAACCCAGGCATCCTAGCTCCCAGCCCCCCTGCTCTAACCACTAGACCCCACTCCCCTCCCAGAGTCGGGCGAGAACCCAGGAGTCCTAGCTCCCAGCCCCCCTGCTCTAGCCCCCAGGGCAGTAAGCAGCCAGCTCTGTGGTTCTGGGGCTGTTCTGGGCCCGTTTGAGCTGCCCTGATGGGTCTGTTACATGGCAGGTGATGCTGATGGTTCGTGGTTAGTCGTATGGAAGGGATGGAGGACAGAGAAGGGGGTGGCACCCTGGTGCCAGCTGGAGCTCGGGGGGCAGGTCACTGAGCCCCATCAGGCGGGACTGGCATCTGCACAAATTCACGTCCCAGCTCCAGCTGGTGAATCCTGCTGGGAGCCTCCTGTGGGGCTGCAGCTGGGCCAGGCTACCCAGGCCTGCCCCATGGCAGGGATGCATCCTTACCTTCCAGGTAGTCCCGGGCGACAAATTTCAGCACCTCATCCAGGAGGATGACGGGGAACGAGATCTTCAGCACCACGAGCCAGTGGGTCAGGTCCAGCGGTGTCAGTTTGAAGATCATCTGGGGGGGGAGAGCAAAGGGGGGAGGAGATCATGGGGAGAACAAGGCAGGGGCACACGAGCCTGGAGAAGGGGAATGCCACAGCCCTGGGGAGCAGTGCTTGGGGTGGGGAGGGAGCAGATGGGACCTTCTACCACTAGTGGGTGAGAGTAACGCTGCCCCCTCCCCCCGCCTGCGCACGGCGCTGCACAGCCACCTCGGCAGGGCCACACTTACGGGCAGGGGGTCGACGTAGAGGATGACGAAGTGCAGGGACATGGACAGGCAGATGGAGCTCAGCAGCCACATGTTCACCCAGGGCGGCATGCGCAACAGGGACTGGTTCTCAGACAGGCTGTGCAGAGAGAGAGGCAGAGAGTGAGGGGGGGGCTGGGCCGGGGGGCGGGGGGAGGGGGCGGGGAGGGGTCCTTGCCTGTTGAGGGCGTTGCACATCTCGATGGTGACCAGCACAGACAGGGCCATGGTCATGGGCACAGGTGACTCGAACACTTCACAATCCAGCCCCTCGAAGTCCACGTTTTCCTCTGTGCACTTCATGAAATGGGACTGGGAGGGGAAGGGGGGGTCAAAATGCAGACAGCACAGTGCTCCAGCCAAACTCCTCCCCCACACAGCTCCTAGCAAGGGACACAGAATCCCCCCGCCAAGCACATGCCCCCCCCAGCTCTGCGCTGGGGCACTGGGGCCAGCACTGACGGCTGGGGAGAGCGTCCAGTTGAGCCCGCCCCCCACACACAGCACAGGGCCCCCAGCTCTGCG